CACACACACACACACACACACACACACACACACACACACACACACACACACACACACACAGGCACACAGATCCGAAAACGGGACAGAGGCTGCATGGGCGCATTGGGCGGAGAAGAGAGTCGAGGTGGCAGCTGGTCAGGGCGGCCGAGGACGAGCGGAGGGGAGAAGGGGAGACGCTGTAGTGGAATAGGGTTGCGGAGGAGATGAGGAGGACCAGTGGAGGGGGGGGGGCTGGGTGGTTGGAAGAGTCGGGTGGCGTAGGAGCAGCGGAGGCTGAACGAAGACAGGGGAGGGGGGGGGGAAGTGGTTTGGGGAGGGAGCCATGCCACTGACCTGAGGGTTCCATCTTGCAGCAGCATTCAGTCGATGACAACTACTCCACCGCACCTCAATCTTGGCCTACCACAGCTCACGGCGGCAGCTGGCCAACCTTATGTGAGAGGGAGACAGGGATTGTGTGTGTGCGTGTGTGTGTGTGTTGTCATGTTTGCTATACAACTCCATTAAAATAGCATGACTGTGGCAGACTATTTCGTTGGGCTTTCACCGACTCATCAGGAGGTTAAACCCCGACAGTCTGCCCAGAGTGAAAGAGAGAAGCAGCGAGAGAGAGAGAGAGAGTTGGGCACTCCGCAGCAAGGTCCACAACAGCAAGCAGGGCATACACAACACGGCCCAAGGCAGTACCCAGCACGTACTACGGCAAACAACATGGACACATCGGCGCAAAGCTCAAGAAAATATGGCGCTATGCGGTTGGAACCGATAAAGGCAAAGTGACGTACCCAAAGTTGCCTGCGAACCGGGCCGTCATCTATCTGCGAAAGGCACTCCGCGGTGTGTCTACCTGAGCCGTCGGTGAGGACCGACGGCCTGGATCTCGGCGCGGTCCTAAGATCTTAAGACCGCATCTATCCAGGCCGTCGGTCTGGTAGGACCCGACAGCCCAGATGGCAGATTTGTTACATGATTAGGTCGATCTGGGCCGTGGGCCGGTAGGACCGATGACGGCCCGGATTTCAGATTTGTCACGTTAGCGATTTTAAATTTTTAATAGTGTAAAGATTTTTATTTTTTATTTTTTTTGTAATTGAGAATTTCCATTCACCTTGTTCCACATACATTCTATAAAGGGTCCGACGTTCTTTTTTTTTTTTTTGTATTATACAAACCGGGAAACGGTTCCACAAACATTCAAACACAGGTCTGTAATTCTTTATTTCTTTCTTTTTTCTTTTTTGTTTCTTTTTTTTCTTTTTTTTTTTTGAACAAAAACACAGCCCCTGTATATTCTGGGTCGAACCAGCCCAAGAGTTCATGGGTGTACCAAGTGAGCTAGGCCCGTTGGTGCTTGTGCAAACTCCCATATACCCCTCGACAGCTAAATTTCAGTTCTATCCCCCATTGCCTATGCCTATTTACTAATCGTCCCCTGTCCGAGAGACACAGACACACATCACCGAAAACAGAGTCGGTTCACGGACTCAGACTTAGGCTTAGAGCCAAACAGTCAAACACACAAACGTACATACAACCTCAGGAGCACTCTCATGCTCAGCAATAGAGCAAAACAGACTCCAATTCGGGGTTAAGAGGGGGGGGGGGGGGGG